CTCAGGATGACTTCTAACTTGTGACCTTCTTGTCTTTACCCCGAGTGCTGGTGACTAAACCCAGGGCTTCACACATGCTAGTTGGGCAAGGACTATCCCAGCTGAGCCACATCCCCCAGCTTCTAACCTCAGCTGGAAGGAGTGCAGCATTGCATCACAACTTAATCCTGCCTGGCGTTCCACGGCCCTCCTTGTCCACTCAGGCCCACTGCAGGGAAAACTGAAATAAGAAGCCTGGGGCTGGGGAGAGGGCTCGGCTGATGAAAGTGCTTTTCTGCAAAGCCTGGTGACTGAGAGCCATCCCCAGACTCACATGGTGGGAGAGAACTGGCTCCTACAAGGTGGCCTCTGACCTCCACACGTGCACCATAATACCCCACCCCCTTTTTCTCAATCTTTCTCTTGAAAGGTTAAAAAAATACAAACGAAAACGGGAATTCTTGCACTCATTCCATGGTGCCTTAGACCCCGGGGAAGTGGACGACCACGCAGCACAAGTGGAGGAGGTGGGCAGGCAGCAGAGCGAGCGGCCCATGCCTCTCAGGGCGACAGCCATTGCTGGCTGAAGGCAGTCCCAGGGAGCAGCGAGAATGGGAAAATCCACGCCGACGGACTTTGTAAGATGCAACTTTAAGGTCCCTAAGGTGCTACATAAGCATCTGCTATGGGGAGAACGGGACTCAGGGGTGACCATTTGAGGAGGAGGTACATTAAAAAAAAAGGCAGAATAATCCATTTATTTAACCCAGCAATGGTCGTAATGTGAGGGCCTGTAATCCGCTCACACAACAACTGTTTGGCAAGCCCCCCTGTGTTCCAACAAATATTAAACTGTGCTTGCCATTTGTCTACGGAATCCTGCATTAATAAACATGAAGAAGAACACTTTACCTCCCACTCTCGGCGATGGGACAAACAAAGACCAGCTGTACTCATCAATGGGGCCTTGTTCTGTGCATAAAGGCTAATTACATTGTGCTTCAAGCCTACACATGGAAAACTTTACTGCGCTGTCCCTATCACAGGCAGCCGCGCGGGCCCAGCTGATGTGCAGCTGAAATGACTGCAGAAGCAGCAGGCAGGGGTGGGGTGGAGGCTGCAGTGGCCTTGTTGCCTTTGACCTGCATCCCCCGAGGGTCTTGTGAAGCCCAAACTGGCCTCTCACAGTGGAGCCGAAGCTGACCCTTAACCCCTCGTCTTCCTGGCCTCCACCTCCCGAGTACTGGACTAGAGAGGCGTGTGCCATCACACCTGTTTCCTGTAGTATGGAGGATCGCCCCCAAGGCCTTGTGGATGCTAGACAAGCACCCTATCAGCCGCGTTACACCCCGGGTCCCTGGGGCTTCTTTTTAAATGGGGGAGGGGAAGGTCGGTGGTCTGAACGACAGACAAGCAGTGTGTACCCTATAAACGGACAAACTTTCAGACTCCCGCTCTCCAGGAGAGGTGCAGGGACTCTGCTGAGCACTCCCAGGCCTTGCAGGGTTGGTTCTCCACAGCTACTCCACAAAGCAACCGCTCTACGCCCCTTGTACAAGCGACGGATGCCCTGGAGGTGACACTGTACAGAGACCAGAGCAATCGCTCCCAGAGCACTCTTTCCTCCAAAGCCTTTCTCCTCTGTCTCCCACCTCCCTTCCCAGGTTCTCTGTCAACACACGTTGGAGCCGTCTACTGTTCCTTTTTAAGAGGTGTGTAAAACCGTTCCAGGTGTGTGTGCATGTGCACACGAAGGTGGATGGCAGAGAGGTCAACCTTTCCTGTTGTTCCTCGGGAGCCATCCGTCTTTCTTTTGAGACAGGCTCTCTGACTGGGTCCTGAGGATCACAGGTGAGATAAGCTGGCTGTCCAGGGAGCCCCAGGGATCTGTCTGTCTTTACCTCCCAGGCTGAGTCACCTTCCTAGCCCCTTCAGTCCAGCCTAGCTGAAGCTCAGCCTCTCCATACCCATCAACCTGCTGTGCCTGTGGGCACCATTTTCAGAACCGCGGCAGGTCTTCCAAGAGGCCAGTGTGGCCTGGATCTTTCCCGAACTCCTTACATCTGGACATCACCCAGCCAGTCCCACACCCACACCCACAGCCCCAGCTACTTCAGAAGCTGTTGCAGGACGATGACGGTCTCCTGAACCTAGGAGTTTGATACCAGCCTAAGGAGTGCAGTGAAACTCACTCCTCAAAAAGACCAAAAGGAGGACGGAGAATGTGTCGGGGTGGGGAAAGCACTTGCCGGGCGAGCAGGAGGACCCATCTGGATCCTGGACTGGCAGGGTAGGCTGCTGAATCCAGCACTGGGGAGGTAAGGATGGGATATCCCCAGAGCCAGCTGCTGAATCCAGCACTGGGGAGGTAAGGATGGGATATCCCCAAAGCCAGCTGCTGAATCAGTGAGTTCTGGGTTCAAGCGAGACCCTGACTCAATATATCTAACGTGGAGAACTGGTGAGGAAAACACACCACATCAACCTCTGACTGCCACAGCTAGGTGCACACATGTGCATGTGGACCCCCACACATGCATACACTCACACCACAAACTCTCCAAAGACTGCTGAAGCCACGATCACTGACACCCAGGGTTGTCCTCTGGCATAGACACATAAACAAGCACACACAGGAAAGCAGTACAGTTTAATAATGAAAAATAGCGATACGAACAACTCTGTCTCCAAACTCACTAGGACTTGGGCCAATCAAGACAGTGATGTGGAGTGGAAGGAGGAGCCACACACTGATTAACGTGCTGTTTACACAACAGGACCGCCAGGGCTATGTAGAGACCCAGGGTCAAAAAGCAAAAACCAAAGAAAACGAGAAGAAAGGTCAGTGACTAAGAACAATGATCTATTTAGTAGGGTGAAGTCCAAGCAGAAACGATCACATTACATGAAGATGAAACACTGACAGAAAGGGGAAGGGAACCCTGGTCCAGGAGTTTCACTGTGGCAGCTGGGGTGGTTTCTGCTGTGGGAATGTCGCGGGTGAGGGGCTCTCTGGGCTTTCAAGGGGTGGAGGCAGCATGTGTGTCTTCCAGCATGTGTTGGATGGTGGCAGCTGCTCTCAGATGGCCCTGTCTCTGGGATGGCAGGAGGCAAGCCCAAGCCACAGGGCTAGGGGGAAATTGAACCACCACTCCCTTAGACTGAGCTCATGTGGAGCTCTTCAAGTGCAACTGCAGAGCAACGGGGGGAGGACGGCCGAAGGTTCCCACGAGGCTTAGCTGTGCCATCGAGTCAGCCAGCTGGGGAGACTGGCGAGGACATCTGCGTCTTTGTGAATAAGTTCTAGTTATTTAGTAGTTTGACTGCAGGGCTGGGGAACTAACTGGGCCCTTAAGGCTCTGGACTACCAAACAAACCAGAAGAGAGGGTCATGAGATGGCCCAGAGGCCGGGGAGATGAGGGCTCGGTCAGTAATGGGCTTGCTGTGTAAGAACGAGGGCCTGAGTTCAGGTCCCCAGCACCCATGTACAAAGCCAGGTGTGCTGGCACGTGGTGGGACTCCCACCCGAGATGACCTGTCCCTAGATGGATCCCTAGAGCTCACTGGCCAACAGCCTAGCCCCCGTGTGAACTCCAAGTATACTGAGATACCCTGCTTTAAAAAAATAAGGTGGAGGGCTGGAGATGACTCAGTGGTGAACAGCACTGGCTGCTCTTCCAGAGGATCTGAGTAGGACTCCCAGCATGCACATGGTGTCTCATAACCACCCGGTAACTCCAGTTCCACACACATTCAAGTACATACATGAACACACATGCCACATGAGAAGGACCAGGACTGCTGGGGTTAAGGGGTATAAGTCTTGTCTCTCACTACAACAGGGTGGGAGCAACTCAGATGTGACCCTACTGATAGCCACGGGAGCACCACGTGAGGGCCAGAGGCAGCACGGCTGGAGTACATGCGCTTTGTTGTGGAGGATCAGAAGAGCCTTCCTTGATGGGAAAGGCTGTAAAAACTCCAGCCTTACACAGCCTGTCTGAACGCTAGCCATTGCGAGCAGACTGCGGCCTCCTCACAGCTTAGGACAATATCAGCTCCTCCTCTCTGCTCATCTGCAAGGCGGGGTCTGGAGGAACTGTTCCTGTCACAGGTCACTCTGATGTCTGATGCCATCCTGACAATAGTCAGGTAGGCAGGAAGCGTCATTGGCTCAGCCTCATCCCTGTGTGCCCCCCACACGGGAAGCCCTGCACAGAGCTGTAAGGCTCAGTGACAAGCTATGGGCTGTGCTTGTTCTTCCTAAGGCACCCTGTCCCGGAAGAAAAGGTGACACAATTTCCTCAGAAGTATCCCGTCAATCACATCTCTTGAAAGTTCACCCTTTTTCACTGTAGAAAAAGGAAGTGAAGCACATGGGCTGGACTCGGCTACCGCAGGTAAGAGTGCTTTCTCTGTAAGTACGACGATGGGCGTTTGACCTCTAGAATGCAAATAAAAAACCCAGGCTCACTTCCACACGGTGGCTCACAATCACCTGTAACTCCAGCGTCAGAGCGCCTGATGCCCTTTTTGGTTGGCGCAGGTACTGTACACACACAATACACAAGACATACAGACCAGACAGGCAAAACACCCAAACCCATAGAATAAAATAAATGAAAAATAAAAAGCCAGATGTGGTGCACATGTGTAACCCCAGCACTCTTACAGTGAGACAGAGGTGGAGACAGGAGGCTCACCTAGAGGCCTGCCTACAGAGCAGCTGGCCCAGAGTACACAGCAGGCGAACAAGAGGAGATCCTGCCTCGGCAAGGACTGACTCCTCAAAGGGGTCCTCTAACTTCAACATGTGCACAGAGAAGTCTAGTCTTTGCACACACACACAGCAGACTAGACTTCTCTGCGATCAGTGGGGATGGATGTGGCACAGGGACTTATTGGATTGACCCTGTATCTTGGCAGCATGACAGGAGGCTAAGCATCTTCTGGGGATGACAACAGCAGAGTCATGCTGACCAAATGCGAAGAAAGAGGAGGACGTCACACAGACACTTACTTTGCAGTAGTTTCTTCATCATATTTGGTTTTCAGGTCAAATAATTCTGTTCGAGTTTTTTCCAGGGCTAAAAGGCAAGGATAGAAACCACGATATAAGACACCAATCTTCTTTAAGACAGGGCCTACATAGCCCAGGCTATCCTTGAACTCATCGTATAGACAAAGATAACATTGAACATCTGACCCACCAGCCTCTACCCACCCAGTGCTCAGATTATAGGTACGAGCAAGCCCTATGCCAGCTTTTCTAGATGCTGGGGATCAAAGGCAGGGATTTTTGCGTGCTGGACAAGCACTCTACTCAGGGAGCTATATCCCCACTTCTTTAGGTTGCTTTCAAAGATGGGGTTTCATGTAGCCTAGGCTTGCCTCGAATTCTGGATCTCCCTGGGTACAATTCCCCAGTGATGGGCTTCCAGGCGTGTGCTGTCAAGCCCAGCTAGGATACCAACTGCTTAAAATAAAAGGGGAAGCACACGAAGATGAGAGACAAACGGAGGGTGGAGAAGAAAACTTCCCCTCAGCCCGCCTCATCTCTCTGAAGTGCCTCCTTCAACAGAGAACCACTTGTCCATGGTTTGCTGCAGGCTTTCAGCTTTTAAATGTCTCTTACCATTGAAAAACCATTTCTATACACAACTGCAAATACAGGTGCATACTTCATGTCTCCGTTAAGCACAGCCCAAGTATGATGGAGGTCACATATAATTATAGTGGAGCTGGGAAATTACTATCACCCAGGGCAACATGGACACCTTATCATCTTAGTGCCACACATGACTTGGGAGCCTACGGTGACGCTGGCATGCTACCAGCTGGGTAAAAGCATGCATATGGTAACTGATCATGCCTATAAACAACTCTGTTACTAGTTTATGTACTTCCTATATAACACTTCAAAAGGTTTTGTGTGTGTGCTCATACCCATGTGTGCACATGTGTATGTGTGTGTGTGTGTGTTTGCAGTCCAAAAGATAAACTTGAGTGTTGTTCTTCTGACGTCATCCACCTTGGGTTTTTATGGAGCAGGGTCTCCCAATGGCCTGGGACTCACCAAGTGGGTGAAGTTGGCAGGCCAATGAGCTCCAGGGACCCACCTTTCTCCACCTCCCCAGGCCTGGGAGTATAAGCATGCTCCATCACACATGGCTTTTTGCATGGGCTCCAAAGGTTGACTGAGATCCTTCTGGTTGTGTGCTATGGATCTGAGCAATCTCCTCAGCTCCTATCATACTTTCAATGATATTTTTATTATTTTAGGATACCTCTGCTTATTAAAAAAAGTTTATTGTGGGCTGGAGAAATGGTTCAGGGGTTAAGCTCTTGCAGAGGACTCAAGTTTGGCTCCCAGCATCCATGTTGTGCCACTCACAACTGTCAATAACTCTAGCTCCAAAGGAGCTGACGCCTCTGCAGCCACCTGCACTCATGTGTACATACATACACACATACATACATACATGCGTGTGTGCGCACACAGAGTTTATTTTAAAATAGTATGTTCTGTGGTAGGAGCAGAAAGCTCATCTATGGACTGTCAACTTCATTTATTGGCTGAACTGAAGAGCAAGGCATGGTGGTGCATGCCTGTCATCTGAGCACTGAGGAGGTGGAAGCAGGGGGATCATGAGGCCAGGCTAGCCTGGGTTACATGGCGAGATCTTAACAGTTCCATAAGTGGGATGGTAAGAGTATTTTCCGAGCCTCATCTTTTCCCTTAGTGGCTGAGGATGGAAGTCTCTCCAAGTCAGGTCACAGGCAAAAAGTGAAGCAGCTGGGTAAAGAACTGCACACGCCTGCCCTACATCTCACCCAGCCAGCCTCAAGAGGCAATTCCCTTTTTGCCCACAGTGCCTGTGACCATGCTCCTACCTACACCCTCAGCAACAGTGGCATTATCTGTTTAAAAAAAGCTGACGGCGTGATAGGCAAAATCATCTGATTTACCTGCAAATCTGATTGTTTAAAACTGTTAGCTCTTTCCTTTAAGATGTACAGTGCCTCTGAGAGCTTCCTGCTCCTTCACTCACTGTTCTACTAGACTCAAGAATTTTCTAGAATTCATAAGTGGCATATGCATATACACACGTGCATGTGTAAGGTGATGACTGAACCGAAGGTTCTGCCCATGCTAGACAGGTGCTCTACAGTTGACCCACACTTGGAGCCCCTCACGGGGAGATTCTGGGCAGGTACTCTACCACTGAGCCACACCCCAGCCCCTCACGGATGGTATTCTAAGCAAATGCTCCTTAGTAGCAGAGCTACATCAGTAGCTTGGTGTTTGCAGCTTTGGACATTTATTCATTGGACTGTTAAACTGGCTGTAACTATTTTTTGTCCCTCTAACATTTGTGTTCTAAGTTGGATCATGATGTCTTCTCATTTTTCTCCCCACATTTAAAGATATCATGCTGCTTCCTTCTCAGAAAAGGAAACAAAAAAAGAAAGGCAAACTTTGGTATAACCTTTTTTGGTATCATTTAGAATTTAAAGGTTCTGTTATAACAGTTCGTAACTTCATTTTGGGTAGAACTAAGGCCCCCCCTACCCCCCATTATTGTTCCAAATGAGATGTCAGTTCTTGACAGTTTGGTGATTTAGAAGTGTTTGTTGGAAAGAAGAACAGGAAGGATGGCTGGGGCAGGGAGGGAGAAGGCAGGGGAGCCGCCCACGTCCACATTAGCAACTCAATGCAGTGACTAATGCAGTCAGGTAGAGCAGCCTGGGACACAGGCTTCAGTTGTGTGGGCTCAAGGTTCCTAACTGCAGGATCCCCAGAAGCAACAAGTAACAGAGGGGCTAGGAACAGGCCAAGAGACTGCCCATGCTCGCCCAGCCCACTTCCACCTTCCCTGTGTGGCTTCAAATAGGACGGGGGGCATCGAACCTGTTTGCAGAGTCTGGAGTCTGTGCTCGGCTTCCTCCAGCTTTGAGGTGGTGGACATCTGGGTCTCT